CTCCTGCCCGGGCTGGCTTTGAACCGCGATCCTCAGATCTCAGCCTCCTGAGTAGCTAGGATTACAGGCGTGAGCCACCAGCGCCCGGCTAATTATGTTAATTTTAAAGCTCTTCAGTGAAGGGTCTACAAAAGCACATAGAAGATGCTTATTAATAGTATTTAACATTGGATGATTATTCACATTGTATCTGTCATCTGTCTTGGTAGTTTTTCTGAATGAAATCATTACTGAAAATCATTACTGAAAAAAGTATTATTTGTTTCTATTAAAACAAATAACTGACTATATAAATGCTTGATACCAAATATCAACATTGGACAAAGTGACTAGCTAAAATATTAGCAACAAGTACAGAAAATTTTCAAATCCATTTTTTATGTTCTGAAAAAGTGTGATTGTGATCTTGCACTTTACATTTTTTTTGTATGCTGGTACTGGGGCTTGAATACAAGGTAAGGGTGTTGTCCCTTATCTTTTAAGCTCAAAGTTGGTGCTCTACCATTTGCGCCACAGCTCTACTTCTGTTTTTTTTCGGTCGGTTGTGGGGCCTGAATGCTGTCCATCAGCTCTTCAGCTCAAGGCTAGTGGTCTACCACTTGAGCCACAGCACCACTTCTGGCTTTTTCTGCTTATGTGGTGCTGGGGAATCAAACCCAGGGACTCCTGCATGCAAGGCAAGCACTCTACCACTGAGCCACCTTCCCAGCCCAACTTCTGGGTTTTTGATCATTACTTGGAGATAAGAGTCCATGGACTTTCTTGCCTGGGCTGGCTTTGAACCTTGCTCCTAAAATCTCAGTCTCCTGAGTGGCTAGGATTACAGGCATGAACCACCAGTACTCTATCACTTTAAAGGTTTTTTTTTTTTTGTACAGTTGTGGGGCCTGAACTCTAGCCTGGGCACTGTCTCTCAGCTCTTCAGCTCAAGGCTAGCGCTCTACCACTTGAGCCACAGTGCACTTCCTGGCTTTTTCTGCTTAAGTGGTGCTGAGGAATCGAACCCAGGGCCTCATGCATGCAAGGCAAGCACTCTACCACTGAGCCACCTTCCCAGCCCTAAAGGTTTTTTTTTAAGCATGTACAAATAAAGATGTCTATAATCATATTTGGGTCCATAGTGCTTTGGACATTAAAACTAACAAAAAAAAACCCCAGAAGATTAAATGGTAAGAATAACCTGTGTTGTTTTGTCTTTTTTTTTCTGTCGGTCGTGGGACTTGAGCTCAGGGCCTGGGTGCTGTCCCTGAGATCTTCAGCTCAGTGCTAGCACTCTACCACTTGCGCCACAGCACCACTTCTGGTTTTCTGGTGGTTAATTGGCGATAACAGTCTCATGGACTTTCCTGCCCAGGCTGGCTTTAACCACGATCCTCAGATCTCAACCTCCTGAGTAGCTAGGATTATAGGCATGAGCCACTGGCACCTGGCTTGTTTTGTCTTCTTTAAGGATACAGACAGGTCTTTTCTTTCAGTTGCTTCTTTTGTATATTCACTGGTCTCATTTGAATCATAGTCTTCTGGTCCTGGGAATTGAAATCAAGGTTTGAGCAATGTACCTGAGCTTTTTAGCTTAAGGTTAGTAGCACTCTACCGCTTGAGCCACCACTTCACTTCTGTTTGTTTTTGGTAAGAGTCTGACAGACTTTCCTGCCTGGGTTGGCTTGGAACTGTTACCCTCAGATTTCAGCCTCCTGAGTAGCTAGGATTACAGACCTGAGCCACTAGAGCCCAGCTTCTTCTTCCTTTTTTAAAAAAATACAATTTTGTTTTATTTGGATCAAGGTCTTGATTGTACATCAGGATCATCTGTTAAAAAATCCCTAAAAGGTTTCAATGCAGTATTTTAGTGAGAGTGATTATTTGTGATTGGGATTTATTTATTTATTGTCAGTTGTGGGGCTTTAACTCAGGGTCTGGGTGCGGTGCTGTCCTTGAGCCTCTTTGTACTCAAGGCTAGCCACGGCACCACTTTTGGCTTTTTCTGTTTATGTGGTGCTGAGGAATTGAACTCAGACCTTGTGCATGTTAGGCAAGCACTCTACCACTAAGCTACATTCCCAGCCCTACTTCAGTTTTTGAGAGGTTAATTGGACATAGGAGTCTCATGGGGACTTTTCTGCCGGGGCTGGCTTGGAACCATGGTACTTAGATCTTAGCCTCCTGAGTAGCTAGGATTACAGGCCAAAGACACTGGCACCTGTTTGTGGTTGGGATTTTTGTTGGTGTTTGAGTATTGCTATCTTGCCAGTAGGCCCAACTGTCCTTCCTGCCCCAGCTCCATGAGTAGTTGGGACTGCAGAGTGTCTGATTTGAAAGAGATTCTGGATGATTCTGATGTTCACCTTGGGTTGGGAGTACTGTCCTAACAATAGTGTGGGACAAAAGTAAAGCTGGAGAGGTTTGTTTTTTTCTTTCTTTCTGGAGTAGGTTATCTTGAGTCTTTTCCTGCAGCCAGCACAGAGTGGAACTCTGCATCTTCCTCAAGCAATCTGATGTTTGCTGCCAACATAGGTAGTCTTTACCATATCTTAAAATTACTTATGTGTGGAGTAAGCAATGGAGTAAACATAGAAAGAAGGCAGGTAAATCATATAATTACCATGTTTTTATATACCATATTGAGAGGATCTGTGCAGATGATTCCACTTGGAGGATGGCATGGCTAACTTCAGTATAGATTGAAAAAGAATCGGTTGCATATATGTTGCTTACTGCCTCATTCCCTAAGAACTCATATTGAATTAATTTGTAAAGCCATAGCAAAATTAGAAAGAACTCTTGAGCTTTATGTTTTTTAGAACTGTTTTTTTGTCAGTCTTGGAGTTTGAACTCAGGGGTCAGGCAATGTCCCTGAGCTCTTTTTTTGGGGGGGGTCCGGTCATGGGGCCTGAACTCTGGGCCTGGGCACTGTCCCTCAGCTCTTCAGCTCAAAGCTAGCCCTCTACCACTTGAGCCACAGCACCACTTCCGGCTTTTTTCTTTTTGCTTATGTGGTGCTGAGGAATGGAACCCAGGGCCTCAGGCATGCAAGGCAAGCGCTCTACCACTGAGCCAACCTCCCAGCCCCCACTGAGCTCTTTTGCTCAAGGCTAGCACTTAACCACTTTGAGCAGCAGCTCCACTTCCAGTTTTCTAGTGGTTAGTTGGGCATAAGAGTCTCATGAGGACTTTTCTGCCCAGTCTGGCTTTGAACCGTGATCCTCAGATCTTAACTTCCTGAGTAGCTAGGATTACAGATGTGAGCCACCAGCACCCAGCTTTATTTATTTTTTTAGAACTTCTTTATGGGATTTTTTTCATGTTAATCAAGTGTGATCGTCTCTAACAGGAAAGAAGTTAGGCTTTGTAGCTCCATATTTGCAAAGGCTGTCATTAAAAAAAAGGCAAATAAGATTAACCTTTCAGATGTGTGTGTGTCTAAAATATCAGTTTCTTAAGGATTATTAGATATTTCATCTCTAACGCAAAGTTTGTGAAATACTGAGGTAAACATCTTGTTCTCATTTTGCGTTTATGTGTGAATAACAGTCACTCCTTTTTCCTAGAAGATGGGCTTCATGGGATCGTGACCTGCACAGCTTGTGGACAACAGGTCAATCATTTTCAAAAAGATTCCATTTACAGACATCCTTCGCTGCAAGTCCTTATTTGTAAGGTATGCTATGATTTGTTGCTAAGGTTTTTGCCTTTGGAGGGTGTACACTGTATTGGGGAAGATAGATGCATAACAATCTGCATCAGTGCCACTATATGGAGATATTGTAGTCATGGACCACATAGAAAGCCTGTGTAATAATTTCCAGTGGAGGAGATAGAAGCTGGTACTTGAAATAGGCATAAGAATTAAATTACCTTGGTGAAGGGAGATTGGTGGAGCCTATTCTATGCAGAGGTAACATGATATTCACAGGTGGCAGGTAACAGCCTGACATGTTGCAAAATCTCAACCTGTATGTGTGTTGTGTTTTGAAACTTTCCTCATCTGTATTGTACTTCTCTGAATCTTCAGCTGAAACACTTTTTAAAAAAAATTGGGGGGCCATTCATGGGGCTTGAACTCAGGGCTTTGGGCATTGTCCCTGATTTTTTGTCTTTGTTTTTTTTACCCTCCTTAAGGCTAGTGCACTACCACATGAACCCCATCTCCACTTTTGACTTTTTGGTGATTAATTGGAGACAGGAGTCTCATGGACTTTTTGCCTAGGCTTGCTTGGAACTTCAATTCTAAGATCTCAGTATTCCAAATAGCTAGGATTACAAATGTATGCCACTGGTGCCCAGCTGGAACAGGGTTTTAATAAAAGTTGGAGGTAGTAGGTTGTTTTTTTTTTTTTTTTGGGTCCAGTCCTGGGGCCTGAACTCTGGGCCTGGGCGCTGTCCCTCAGCTCTTCAGCTCAAGGCTAGCGCTCTACCACTTGAGCCACAGTGCCACTTCTGGCTTTTTTTTTTTTTTTTGCTTATGTGGTGCTGAGGAATCAAACCCAGGGCCTCAGGCATAGCAAGGCAAGTGCTCTACCACTGAGCCACCTTCCCAGCCTGAGCAAAATTCTTTCTTGACAACGTCACCCCTTCCTTTGCTATACACACACATAATTTTTATTTCATTTTCCCCGATAATAGGTTTTGAAATGTCTTATATAGATTGATTATAATTTCATGAGTGTAGGTACCTTTTTAAAAATTTTTGGTCATGCAGCTTGAACTCTGGGCCTGGGTGCTGTCCCTCAGTTCTTCAGCTCAAGGCCAGTGCTCTTCCACTTGAGCCACAGCGCCACTTCTGGTTTTCTGGTAGTTTATTGGAGATAAGAGTTTCATGGACTTTCCTGCCTGGGTTGGCTTTGAACCGCGATCCTCAGATCTCAGCCTCCTGAGTAGCTAGGATTACAGTCGTGAGCCACCAGCACCCAGCATAACATTAATTCTATATTAGTTTATTTTATTTTACTTATTTATTTATTTTTGTTGCTCATGGGACTTGAACTCTGGGCCTGGGCGCTGTCCCTCAACTCTTCAGCTCAAGGCGAGCACTCTACCCCTTGCTACAATGCCACTTTCTGTTTTCTAGTGGTTTTTATTGGAGATAGTAGTCTCACAGACTTTCCTGCCTGAGCCTCCTGAGTAGCTAGGATTATAGGCGTGAGCCACCAGTGCCCAGCTATTAGTTGTTTATTAATTAAAGACAAAAAACTACCTTTGAAATGAAGGGGCAGGCTATATTTTCTTTGGCTTTTGAGTTCTAGATATTTTCTCTTGTGAATATTTGATAGATTCTGATCTATGTTAAAATTTTATTTTATCCTTGGGAAACTTGTTTTCCTCTTTTCCTTTAAGAGATTAGTGAGAGGGGACATGTTATAGTGTCTGCTTTTAAATTTTGACAATCAAAATCTTACATTGATGGATTCATAATCCCTTCCTCTTTCCTCTTCGCCCCCTCCCTTCTTCCTCTCCTCTCTCCCCTCTCTTCTTCCTTCCATTTTTTCTCTTATGCTAGTATTGGAGCTTGAACTCAGGACCTGGGTGCTATCTGTTAGCTTTTTCACTCAGGCTAGCACTGTCACTTTAATCACAACTCTGCTTTGTCCTGTTTTGTTGGTTAATTGGAGATGTCTCACAGACTTTCCTTTTCAGGGCTGGCATTGAATTGCAATCCTTAGATCTCAATCTCCTGAGTAGCTAGGATTACAAGTGTGAGCCACCAGTGCCCTGCTGCCCAGCCTTTTCTGTTGTGCCACTGGGCACATGGCTTTTTTCCCCCTTCATTTCTCCCTCTTTCCCTCCGTGCCTCACTCACTCCATCTCTTCTCCCCTCCCTCCCCCTTCTCTCTTTCTCTTTCTCTTTTTCATCCTGGGGTTTGAACTTGGGGTCTGGGCACTGTCCCTGAGCTCTTTAGCTCAAGGTTAGTGCTCTGCCACTTTGAGCCATAGCTCCACTTTTGGTTAATTGGAGATAAGAGTCTCATAGACTTTACTGCGTGTGCTGGCTTCTAACTGCGATCCTCAGATCTCAGCTTCCTGAGTAGCTAGGATAAGAGGATGTGAGCCACCAGTGCCAGGCATAGCTTTTCTTATATAAATATATAAGAATGTGTTCATCCATGGGCCAGTCTACTGGAAAGGAATTTGAAATCAGTAAAGCTTTTTCTTCCCTTTCTTTTGGTAGTAGTGGGGTTTGTACCTAGGACCTCTTATTTATTTGCTAGGGAGGTACTCTAAAACTTGAACCACACCCCTGGCCACAGTGACTGAGATCATGATATTTATTCTACTCAAGTAGTTGGGCTGATATGTGCACACAACCATGTTCAGCTTTAAGACTGGGATTCTCATGACAGTTTTTTTTTTGTTTTGGTTGGCCCAGGGGCTTGAACTCTGGGCCTGGGCGCTGTCCCTCAGCTCTTCAGCTCAAAGCTAGAGCTCTATCACTTGAGTTACAGCGCCACTTCTGGTTTTCTGTTAGTTTATTGGAGATAAGAGTTTCATGGACTTTCCTGCCCAGGCTGGCTTTGAACTGCGATCCTTAGATCTCAGCCTCCAGAGTAGCTAGGATTACAGGTGTGAGCTATCAGCGTCCAGTTTCTCATGACTTTTTTTTTTAAAGATTAGCATACATTAGTTGTACAAGGTTTCATTGTGACATTTTCATACATAAGCACACGATGGATCCTGGTCAAACCCATACCCTTTTTTACTCTCCTACATTCTCTACCCACTACTAAAGGGATTTCAATAGGTATCATTATTCTACTATTATATATTCATCTTCAATCACTCTTTCCATTTTCCCTCCCACCCCCAGCAGAGTTTGTTTTACTTTCAGTGGGAATTAATTGTGCCAAGGGATTTCATTATTATATTTCAGATGTATGTGTGTGTGTGTGTAAATATACACACACACACACATATACATACATAATATTTTAATGAAAATAACCCTCTCTATTGATCACAAGCTTTCACTGAGATTCCTTATACATAGTTGCAATGTGTTTTGAAATGATTCACTCTCCATCTTTTTCCTCTCCCCTAGTTGCCCTAAAATGTCCCATAGTTAGAATCATGGTTTATGAGCCCGGCGTTGGTGGCTCACACCTGTAATCCTAGCTACTCAGGAGGCTGAGATCTGAGGATCCCAGTTCAAAGCCAGCCCAGGCAGTAAAGTCCGTGATACTCTTATCTCCAATAAACTACTCTGAAAACCAGAAGTGGCATTGTGGCTCAAGTGGTAGAGTGCTTGCCTTAAGTTGAAGACCTGAGGGATAACGCCCAGGCCCAGAGTTCAGCCCACAACCAACAACAACAATAAAAAAGAATCATGATTTATGTATACATATACATAGATACACACATATGCACACATATATATACATGTCTATGAATATGTATATTCTTTAAGTTTAAAAAAATTTAAGTAGTTTTACAAAGGAGTTGCCATTTAACAAAGCAGTTTTTGAATACAATGCATCTTTTTTTGCAAATTCTTTATTGTGATCAAGTGATTACATAATTTCACAGTATTTCACAGTATTGTGGGGTACAAATTTCACAGTATTGTGGGATAGTGATACTTAGTTAAAGTCACAAACACATTCTAACTTTCATGGGGCAAATTGTCTGTCATGGACTATAACATTTATGAGTTCTATGAGCTTTGCAATACAGTTATTTCTTCCACATAGGGTGATATGTACATTTCTTTTGTTTTTCATAGCATCAGCTGTTCCCTCTTTCCCACTTGTTCCCTTCCTCCCATCACTGCCATTGAGTTGCTTAGTTCATTTTGATCAATGTCCAGTGCAGCTGATGGGTCCTGCTGTTGTATGTTTTTCCCTGATTCCCTCTAGTTCTGTGTCGTCCTCCTAGATTCCCTCTGGTATGAACATATATACCATATATGTGATCAGCAGCATGGGGTTATTTAGTAGTGATTCAGCCAGATGAGTGGATGTCCTTTGTTTCTCAAGTCTTGTTAACTTTGTTGTATCACCTTTTTGTTCTGGATGATTTAACATCCACTTATCAGGGAGACCATGTGCCATTTGTCTCTTTGCTCTTGACTTACCTCATGCAATATGATTTCTTCTAGTTCCATCCATTTCCCTGCAAATGCCATTATTTTGTAAATGTGTATTCTCCTTCCTTCCTTCCTTCCTTCCTTCCTTCCTTCCTTCCTTCCTTCCTTCCTTCCTTCCTTCCTTCCTTCCTT